GCATTGGTGGCGCATGCCTTTAATCCCATCACTCAGGAGGCAGAGGCAGGTGGATCTCTGTGAGTTCGAGACCAGCCTGGTCTCCAAAGCGAGTGCCAGGATAGGCTCCAAAGCTACACAGAGAAACCCTGTCTCAAAAAAACAAAAAACAAAAAAAAATTCAAAATCAACATAATGCTATGCTTCCTATTGTGTGTTGGGGGGGAGGCAATGGCATCTTTAGGGAACCCTGAGAACATTGGGATAATGGTCAAGTCCTGGAAGAACTAGCTGTGTCATTTGTTGTCCAGTCTCTGTGTGATGGGAAAGTGCAGGGCTTGTCTGAAGTCTTGTCTGGATAGTCTGTGAGACTGGATCATCTCAGCTAGCCACGTGGATGTTGTTTTGGATACAGACTGTTGAAGAAACTGCAACAGAGGCAGTCTGAGAGGCTGGATCATTTGGGCTACTTGTCTTTATTGGTGTCTGGTTCTTTTTTTTCTGAAAACATGCAAACTTTTAAAGGTAGCATACATATCTGCATTAACAGATGTATGGAATGTGCAGTGTGCACAAGTCAGCTGAAGATGAGTCTCTGTTCTGTGTTTGAGCAGGTAAAGGGCATCTGTCAACAGGTAAAGGGCGGTAGGTAAAAGGCATAAATCTGTTTGAACTGCACAACTCAACTGTAATATAAATCTCTATCCATGCCATGTGAAAGGATACACGTAATAATAAGTCATGAGGACTCTGTAGACAAGATTTATCAAGTCTCATCTAGTCTCAGAGCTGTTCCCATGTACAGGGATCAGCGTAAACATCACCTGTCTTGTTTTTCTTGGTTTCTTCCTTCACATCTTCAGCCAAGATTTTCAGGAGGTTCCCCCAATCAAATATGGTCTTTATTAATTTTTAAGAAATCCATAGTTTTTTGTTTCCTGTGGAAACAAAGGCATAACCTCTTCCCTAACTCAACCTATTTATTTTACTTCTATTCTAAGGTTAAGACATTCTTAAAATATATAGACTGGTTTAATTCAGTAGTTTTTTTCCACAATCCTGTATCTCTCAGCAGCTGCCATATTTTTATTAGCGTTTAAAAATATTTAAAGTTAACAAAGTTCTTTATAGGATCCAGATGTCTTATATTTCCCATCTTTATGTGGCTTATTTATTTTATATTACTTTACTCTCTTTAAAGACTTTATTTTTAAACTATTTTTTTCTATGACTGCCTATACCCATAATCTCTTCTTTCTTCAGCATTCAGTACCATTTTCAAGCATTCTATACCTGTTCAGAGGTTTTCTCAGCCTGGATCTGACTTTTTGTGTGTCTGCAGCCTTCTCTGACTGTGAAGACAAACCTTAAATAGCCAGGCCCTCCACTGCACAGCTGGCTTGGCACATGGCATAGTGGCTGGCTCTGACCCCCTTTGGGTCAGTAGTGCCTAACTGTCCCAGCCACACCTAATCATCCCAGCTGCACCTAACCATCCCAGCTCTGGGAAGCTGTGTATGCACTGTGGTTTGTACCCAGTGCTGAGTAACATGCCAGCTGCTCAAGTGCTCAGCTTCACAGTAGGCCCTCTTCAAGAAGCCATGCATTGTATGCTGCTAGCACTGGGCCTGCTTGAGAGATGGCGGTTACTAAGAAGCCATGTCTAGCTCCATGTTAGGAACTTTTTTCAACTTTCTTGGGCCCTGTGTTGGGTGCTAGTGTAGTTGGACTTTCTTGTCAGACTTTCTTTTGGGACTGTTAGCCCCCAAATAATGACATGGAGACTTATTGTAATTATGAATGCTTGGCCTTTTTGCTTAGGCTTGCTTCCAACTAACTTTTTTTTAGTTTTTCCAGACAGGGTTTCTCTGTGTAGCTCTGGCTGTCCTGGAACTCACTCTGTAGACCAAGCTGGCCCAGAACTCATAGAGATCCGCCTGCCTCTGCCTCCCAAGTGCTGGGATTAAAGACATGTACCACCACCACCACCACCACCTGACCCAACTAACTCTTATAACTTAACCATTTTCTATTAATTTACATTTTGCCACATGGCTTTTTTACTTCTTCCCCCTCCTGTATTTCTGACTTCTTCTGTGTCTCACTGGCATCTCTCACACACCTGCATTTATCCCCCTCAGTTTCTCTTTCTGCCTGGAAGTCCTGCCTAACTTCTCCTGCTAGCTATTGGCCATTCATCTTTTTTTTTTTTTTTTTTTTTTTTTTTTTTTTTTGGTTTTTTGAGAAAGCGTTTCTCTGTGTAGCTTTGGAGCATATCCTGGCACTCGCTCTACAGACCAGGCTGGCCTTGAACTCACAGAGATCTGCCTGCCTCTGCCTCCCGAGTGCTGGGATTAAAGGTGCGCACCACCAATGCCCAGCGGCCATCCATCTTTTTATTGGACCAATCTCAATGACACATCTCACAGTGTACAAATATCCAGCAATAGACAGCTACATGGGTTGGCAAGGAACCCCATCCTGGATGTCAGCCCCAAGCAGCCCCTTGGCTGGCTATCAGTGTATAGTATTTAGATTGTGCTACCACACAGGGGAGCTTTTGGACTTACTTGAGCTTGAAGATGAGACTAAAAGTTCACCGGGAAGAAAGGATGCAGGAAACTGGAGGAAACGGGGTATTCCACAGAAGGAATACACATATGGCAGAGAGGTATTGGAGCCAGGCCCCTTCTCTGTGTATGATACACAATACATGATCTCTTTTCTCATCTATGAAAGGGGTACTTACCAGTCCTTCCTGTCACCTCAAGGCATTGGGAGTTCCAAAAGAGATGATGTATATTAAATCCTTGAGGCATATCTGGACCCCCAGTTTCTGGCAGCATATAGGTGGCTTCACTAAATGGTACAAGGAATAGTCAAGGTAAAACAAGGTGGTGTGTGATAGACAGAAGGCTGAAGACCTGCTACATGTTATGTCCAGTGAAAGCATCACAATAGTATTGGTGAGTGCTATAGAGGTTGGCTGCTTTTCAGAGGGTTCAATTCCCAGCATCCACCTGGTGGCTCACAACCGTTTGTAACTCCAGTTTAGAGGGATCTGATACCCTCTTCTGGCTTCCATGGGCACTGCATATACATGGTACACAGACAGACATGCAGGTAAGACACCATATACATTTAGGGAAAAAGTTAAGTACTGGTACAGGGAAGGAAGTGGTGTGAGGGAGGCCTGGTGACGTAAGAGCTAACAGAGCAGCAAAGTGCCTGTGAGAAGTGGCTGCTTCGGCATGGGGGGGGGGTCTTATAGCTTGGCTATATTAGAGGATGGGTAAAAGGAAGTGAACTCAGGACTGAAGTACCTAGGAACAATAGAGGTGCCTGAGATGAGAATGCTGGCAAGTACTCAGCCACAGACTGAGCTTGTGCCACAGTTTGGGAAGGGTAAGGCAAACAGGATGTTATCTAGGGAGAAAGAACTGAGTATTGTGAAGGGCTTGGTCATAGCAGTGGTGATGTGGATAAGATAACCAGACAGGATGGTGTGGCATCCCAGTGACAAAAGAAAAAAAAACAGCAGCAACATGATTAACCTGGCATCCTGAGCTCTGATTTTTTTTTCTTCACACTCCTGCTTAGTGAGTATAGATGAAGCTGTGTAGAGAGCTGGGGGAGAGCTGGGGGAGTGTGGTAGGATCTTACTCAGGACAAAGGATGCCCTGGAGAGATGTGCACTAGATTTGGCATTGACATCAGTCTCTGAGAGAGTTTGAATGATTGATCAGTCCATGAACAAAATATTTGTCTTAGCCCAGTTGGGTCAGGTTGTTGGGAGCTCAAGGTTTGGTGCAGTGACTAAGGGATTTAGGCAGCTGTAGAACAAAGAGTTCCACTGAGGAACAAACCATCTTCCTGAGCAACAAACTGCCACAAGCTTGAATGACCCAAGGTGGAATGAACCAGAGCAAGGAAGAGCTGGGCCACTCTTGAGTAAGAGGGGGAAGAATCAGAAACATGACTTGGTGTCTCCTAGGGACCTGTTCTGGACCATGTGTTACAGAACCCTCACAAGCACCCTGTGGTAGATAACATCACAAAGCTGAGTCCGTTTCCAAAAGTTAGTGCTGTTTCCACCCAAAATACAAGCCGATTCTTATGTGTTGTTGGGCCTCTGATAGTCTGTGGCCTTCAGTGGAAGGCAGCTCAGCTGAGCTGGCCAGCCTACCTTCTAGGTGATTGGTTGTCACAGCCTTGAAAGTGTTCTGTGCTTCGAAGCCAGGAATCCAGCAGCAGGAAACCATCCCATCCCTCCTTCCCCAGGCACTGTTAAGGGTATAAACAAGACCTAAACTGTAGGCTCTGAAAATAATATATTCATATTTGTGTGTGCCTCTCTCTCTCTCTCTCTCTCTCTCTCTCTCTGTGTGTGTGTGTGTGTGTGTGTGTGTGTGTGTGTTGCACCCACTCATATCCATGAATGCATGTACTCGTCACACACATTACGTGTTCACCCTCAGCATGTACATGTCTGGGAAGACTGTGAAATTGGTCCGTGTCCTGTAGCACACTAGGCTCACACACATTTGTATGTATATGCCTGTAAGTACTTAGGAAAACAATCTTATTTCTGTGTGTTCTCTCCTTCACCTTTTTCCTCCCTGTTCTCCCTCCTACTTTCCTGCGCCCTCCTCTTCCCTTTGTGAGCTTAGGTAGCAGTGTGATTAGGTCCTCTGGCTCAGGCTTCAGCACTAATCCTCACCCTGCACATTTCCAAGGATAGAGTGGCTGAGACTTTGTGACCTTAGTTGCTGTATAATCCAAAGGGCTTCTGCTGACAGTGGCTTGGGGGTGGAAGAGAAACAAACAGAATCTGTGACCTCGCCTCAGGTCTGAGCCCCCTGTGTCTGGCACTGTCATAGCTGAGTGTGGCAAGAGGTACATGTTGGACAGGCAAAGGTTTGCTTGGAGGTTAAGGTAGAGCTCAACCAGAGGAAACCAAGGAAGATTGTTTATGCCTTGGCAGCAACCCAGGAGCCAGCCTGCCTATCTTGTCTCTGCAGTGTCTGATGAGAAGAAGGAAAGCTGGTCCTGGGAGTCCTACCTGGAGGAGCAGAAGGCTGTCACTGCCCCAGTCAGCCTCTTCCAGGACGTGAGTTGGGCAATTTCAGTCTAAGGAGATTTTATCCTGTCAGTGCAGGGACTCACCACCAAGCTCAGGCATTCTGGGGTTTTCTTCTGAACAATCCTTGACATACTAGCAGAATGAAGATGTCCAGAGTTGAAAAGGGTGTCCTGTAAGGGAATCCCTGGGTAGGAAGAAACAGGGAGGTACCCTCCAGACTCACCCCTCACCTGTTGACTTGTGGATTCTGGTACCTTTCCTCCAGTTCAGCATTGACCTCACCATTAGGTAGATGAGAGAACCCTTAACTCTAGCCCCTGACCCAACCCTTCAGAATAGTCCTGCAGCTCTCTCCCCCTCTGAGGGCCCCTTGCAGGACAGATCTCCAATAATTCACCCCCTTTGAGACCAGGAGGCAGCTCCTTCACCCCAAGCCCACTAGGCAAGGATAAGGCCGGGTGGAAGCCGGGTCCTCTCCGCTCTGTGCATTGACAGTCTCAGGCAGTCACCCATAGCAAGAATGGCTTCAAACGGGGCATGAAGCTGGAAGGCACTGACCCTCAGCACCCGTCCATGTACTTCATCCTCACTGTGGCAGAGGTGAGCCGGAAATGCCCTCCCAATGTCTCCTTGTAGAGTGATGGAGCTGCTGGGGGTGGGGGTGGGTGAGGGAGGCACTGCTTTGCCTCAGGAAGCCCAGACGCCCAAGAGCGTCCATTGGAATTTAGGGAAACCTAAAAGCAAAACCTGCAAAGCAGATGGGGAGCGGAGAGATACTGGTATTACTGAATAGTGTAAATTGTCTGTGCTTGGAGGGGAGGGGTGAATATGAACGATCCCAAAGGTGGGGATGTTGTCTCAAATCAAATAGGGCCTTGTCCTCTAGGGAGGGAACCTGTGAGATGAGCACAGCAGCAGCGACAGGCCATGAGCTTGCAGATCGAGAAATAGTCCATCTGGCCTGAGGGGGCAGGACAAGTATAGGAAGGCCTGTGTTTGAGCAGAAAACTCCAGGAAGATACAGCAAAATGGCATCTGGAGCATGAGATAGAGTGTGACGTAGCAGGGCGTACTGAGGGTGTACAGTGAGCGAGGAGGCTGAAGGGAAGACCCTGGGACACATGGCAGTCTGGAGTACCCCCTACATCCTGGCTGGGGCTTAGGAGGGGAGCAGGCTGCCATAGCTTCTACCGGTCTTGCACTCAGCACTTGGGGCACCTGCTAGCACTGGATCCCAAGACTGCAGGCTGGACCAGGAGAGGTGAAGGAGTGGGAAGGTGGCATCTCCTGGCATTGACGTGCCACTGCTTCTTGTCACGGCCAGGTGTGTGGCTACCGCCTGCGCCTGCACTTTGATGGATATTCTGAGTGCCGTGACTTCTGGGTCAATGCCAACTCCCCAGACATTCATCCTGCTGGTTGGTTTGAGAAGACTGGGCATAAGCTGCAGCCTCCCAAAGGTAAGACCTCCCTGGGTTGGCCCTTGGAAGGCAGCAAGTCCCAAGACCCACACCTTACTCCTTCAGGTCACCCTGCATCCACATTAAGAAAAAAAAAAAAAAAAGCTAAATCTTTCCCCCTCCTGGGTTGGCCCTTGGAAGGCAGCAAGTCCCAAGACCCACACCTTACTCCTTCAGGTCACCCTGCATCCACATTAAGAAAAAAAAAAAAAAAGCTAAACTTTGGCCACTTTCTGTCCCATTCTGCTACAGTTTCACTCTGAGGCTCCTGAACCCTCTTAGTGGTCTGGTCCTATGTTCCTTTAGTAGAGGGGCCCTGCAGGTTTTGGGGACCTCAGACATGCCTGTTTCTACTTCATTATTGGGGCCCTCACTATGGCCCAGCCTCTGCACAGAGCTCTGTTCATTCCCCCGAGGGGCCCAGGTTACAAGGAAGAAGAGTTCAGCTGGAGCCAGTACCTGCGCAGTACAAGAGCCCAGGCAGCCCCCAAGCACCTGTTTGTAAGCCAGAGCCACGTGAGTATTGACTAAAATCACCCCCAGGCCAAAGTCACTGCAGTCAGCCCAGGGGATCTGACTCGGTAGAACAGAGCACGTCTGTCAGCTCTGTTCTGGTCTCTTCAGGCTCAAGAGGCATGCCTGGGGAAAGGCCAAAGTCGAAATGTGGGATGCTGGTTATACATTCCCGTTTCCCCCTTCCAACTTGCCTTCAGCCATTTTCTTTTAAATTACTTTTTAAAAATTTATTTTGTATGTGTGATGCCCATGCCACATAAGCACTCATAGAGGAGGTCAGAGGACAACCTGTGGGACCCAGTGTTCCGATTCCACCATGTGGATCCAGGGACTCAAAACTCAAATTGTGTGGCTTAATGGCAGGTGCCTCTATCCTCTGAGCCATCTCACCAGCCCTCATCCATTGTGTGGCTATTCCAAAGTATCTAACCCTGACTGATACAGAAAGAAAAGAGGCTTACTTTATCCTGTAGCTTCAGAAGCAGAAAGTCCTTGATTAGGTAGCCCTTTCTGTTGAGCCTCCGACACTGGCAAAGGCATGTGTGGAAGAGATCACAGGGAGTCACAGGGATTTAAGTACAATCTTCCTTGCTTTTTGCTTTTTTCTGGCTGTCCTGGAACTTACTCTATAGACCAAGCTGGCCTTGAACTCAGAGATCCTCCTGCCTCTGCCTTGCAAATGCTGGGATTAGCCAGGCATTGGTGGTGCACGCCTTTAATCCCAGCACTTGGGAGGCAAAGGCAGGCAGATGTCTGTGAGTTTGAGGCTACCCTGGCCTATAGAGCGAGTTCCAAGACAGGCTCCAAGACAATACAGAGAAACTTGTCTCGAAAAAACAAAAACAAAAAACCAGCAAATGCTGGGATTAAAGGTGTGCACCACCTCTGCCTGGCTCAAGCTTTATTTTGTTTTACGATTGTGTGTGTGTGTGTGTGTGTGTGTGTGTGTGTGTGTGTGTGGTCTGCATATGCCAGTGCCTATGTGCTGCAGAGCCCAGAAGAGGCCATCAGAACCTGGAGCTGAAGTTACAAAACTTTGCCGGTCATGGGTGCTGGGATCTGAACTCCAGTCCTTTTGATTGAGCAGCAAGCTCTCAATCACCAAGCCATCTCTCTAGCCTGCTCTCTGTTCTTCTAATAAGTGTCTATTCTCTCAGCAACTAGCCAGAGGCCTTCAGTCCCCTTCTAGCATAGGACCCTTTAGGGGACACACAAACCATATCATTCTCTGCTGCAGAATTCTCCCACACACACACACTCCAGAGGCCCTAGCCAACTGCTGCAGCCTGGACACTAACTTGTCACCACTCAGTTGTTCATCCTTTGGTTTGCTCTGCAGCTTATTGGTGTAATGTCAAAGTCTATTCTGGCAGCCTTCTCCGTTTTCATCTACTGACATTCCCACCAGCTCACCTCCTGTTTTCAATCTGTTAAGAGGCTGATGGCAGCTTAAACAGTTAAGTGTCACATAATTCCAAGCAGAGGGTCTGAGAGATAGAGAGCTAGAGCTCCCATTGAGAACATTTCTGTACTGGGGGCTGGATATGCAGGGTAGTAGTAGAGTACCCCTCACCCCGTGACCATATGGAAGGGCCACGGACTCCATCATGCTGTTCACAGGGATAGCTACTCTCCCATTCCTGTCTGCCCCCAGTGACTATAGATACTTGGGGTTAACAGGCGATTGATAGGGTCCCACCGCCTAGTGATGGGAATGCAGATTTTTAAAGTCCACTATTTGGCCTCTGGCCCTGCCATTAGCTGCATTGTGTTCTGAGTCATAGATGTCACTTCTAAGAGGAGAATAACCATCTTAGGCATGTAGAGATGAGGAGGCGGTGTCTTTTGAAGCTTCTGCATGCTTGTGGCAACTACCCAGCCAACACTAGTGCCCCCCACACTCCCTGCTCCCTTCAGCAGTGGAACACATCAGTGCTCCCTTCCCCACCACCCGGCTACTGCCCCAGCTGCCTCAAGCAAGCCTGGCAAGGCCCATTTGAGTAAGGGAGACTTGTCCTCAGCCTGCCAGGACTTTTGGGTAAATCCATAGCCTCCTGACAATAACTTCCCTTCTCCCACAAGTCAGCTTGTAAGGATCATTGCACTTGGAGGACAGAAGTCCCTGAGTGGCCCAGAGCAACCCTCATTCCCAGCCTCTTTCTCCCGTGTGCCCATTTCCCATTCCCAGGCAATCCATGTAGAGAACCTGCTCCTTCGTTTGCCAGCGGCTCTGGGCTAGCTCCAGCTACCCTGGCCCTGGCTGTGACAGCCCTCTTCTTACTCCTAGAGTTCTCCTCCAGTGGGCTTCGAGGTGGGCATGAAGCTGGAGGCTGTGGACCGAATGAACCCATCCCTCGTCTGTGTGGCCAGTGTGACTGATGTGGTGGGCAGTCGCTTCCTGGTGCACTTTGACAACTGGGATGACACTTATGACTACTGGTACTGGGACCTTCTGGGAAAGAGGCGCCATGGGCAGGGGGCATCCCCTCTAGGACATTCAGACACCATGTGGCCTCACCCAGTTATTCAGCTCTTGCTCCAGATTGGAGAGAGGGTAGTGATCTGCCCTGTGGATCTGAACTGAGTCACGGGCTACATAAGCTCAGTGTTTTCTATTTCATCAGGAAATACCTTGGTTAAGAGGTCCACAACACACCCATAGATCTCCACTATCTATTATGGTGTGATAATTTTCAGTTAACATGACAGGTTTCTGATCCGATGTTAGTCACCCATCTTCCTCTCACCAAGAAGGAGGCTGAGGAAGTCCCTAGTGTCATGCTGTGGGGACAGCAGGCTCAACCCTCCCCAGTTCTCCTGGGACAATGACATACTCTTGGGTTTCAGGTGTGATCCCAGCAGTCCCTACATCCACCCAGTAGGCTGGTGCCAGAAACAAGGAAAGCCTCTCACCCCTCCACAAGGTGAGGCTGCTGCCCAAGCATGCGTCTTTCCCAGGTCTGGCTCTCACTCTCTCTTTGCCCTTTAGCATGTTAGACATGGTCCCTGTACCCCACCTTAGCAGGCCCTTTAGAATCAGAGTAGGGAACAGATAGGGCCCGGAGCCTTGACATTTTGGGGTTTAGGAAAAGAAAGTTAAATGATTACCTCAAGCATGCAAGGGTCTCAAGCAAAAGGTCCTTCCTTTTGGGACCACCGCTGGCCCAAGTGTAGCAGAGGTTTGGCTAGGACTAAGTAAGAGAAATGGGGTCAGAAGTGATGGAGCTAGGATTCCAGCAACCCTGAGCTCTTGAGGTCCTGTGTGGTTGGTTCTCACTGGGGCTCATCTGCCCTAAGAGCCCCATGCAAGCATCGAATTGTGGTCCCATGGGGGGAATTTCTTCTCCCAGATTCTCCACCCCTTCCATGTTCTTTTGTTTTGTTTTGTCACTGTTATTTTTTGAGACAGGGTTTCTCTGTGTAGCCCTGGCTATCTTGTACTGGCTTTGTAGACCAGACTGGCCTCAAACCCATAGAGATCTGCCTGCCTCTGCCTCCCAAGGGCTGGAATTAAAGGCAGGTGCCACCACCCCTGGCTTCCTTCTGTGTTCTTGATCCCAGCTGGGGACAGAGAGTTCCCTGACTACCTGACTGGCTCGGCCATTGCTCTTACTCTCTTTCCCAGACTATCCAGACCCTGATAGCTTCTGCTGGGAGAAATATCTAGAAGAAACTGGGACCTCAGCTGTGCCCACTTGGGCCTTCAAAGTGGTAAGTTGACTCTTGCCTTCCCCATAGCTGAGCTTAGGAAGATGTGGTCCCATCAGTCAGCTAGAGAGGGCCTTGGCCAAGACACACCCTCCCCCATGGCTCTCTTCTTGGATCCTGAGCTCTTCAGAGCTGGGCCTTAGCCTGAAAGCACCTGTCTTCCCACAGAGACCCCCTCACAGCTTCCTGGTCAACATGAAGCTGGAGGCCGTAGACCGCCGGAACCCAGCACTGATTCGGGTAGCCAGTGTGGAGGATGTGGAGGAACATCGGATAAAGGTGGCTCTGGGACCCTAGGCCTGGGGGAGTGGACAGGTCAGTGGGACAGGAATTCTGTAGAATGCTTAGAGGTCAAAGGCATGGCATTAAATAGGAAGCTGGAACAGTTCTTTTCCTTATCTATGATTCACGGTTGTGGGCTTGGACAGGTCCCTTTTCCTCTACAAGCCTTAATCTTATCATCTATAAAATGGCCTTTCTTTCCCAGCTCCACTTTGATGGCTGGAGTCACAGCTATGACTTCTGGATCGATGCCGACCACCCAGACATCCACCCTGCAGGCTGGTGCTCCAAGACAGGACATCCCCTGGAGCCTCCTCTCCGTGTGTACTCTCAGGACGCTCTGTTCTTTCCCTTTCCACCAATCTCTGACAACCCTCTCAGGGCTCTGCAGTGAGCCTGGGGTACCTGTCCCTCTAGTCCCCAGGACTTACTGCTATACTAAACCTAGCCATGCCCTTAAGTCCCAGCAAAGTATACAAGAGCCAAACCTTCCTTCCCCGGTGATAGCTGATACCCAATGGCAGCAATGGGCACAGCTTGACTTAGGGCCTGGTCTCCAAAGAACTAGTTTCCAGTACTGACTCCCCCCTACTCCCATGACACCCCCATGGAAACTGTCCCTTCTCTGTCCCATCCCCCTGTCCCCAGGACTCAGTGCTGATTTCTCTATTGCCCCTGCAGAGCCCAGAGAGTCCAGCTCTGCCTCACCTGGGGGCTGCCCTCCTCTCAATCACAGGAGCCCACCCCACACAAAGCCCTCCAAATACAACTTTCACCAGCGGTAAGTAAAGTAACAGCTGAGGCCCAGAGTGAAACAGGTATGGTTCAGGAAGTCTTTTACAGCTGTGGAGTGAGACCCATTCGAATTCCCCAGGACCTGAACAGGGCCAAGGTTAGGGAGGGCTCTGTAGAGACCAGAGGGTCCATCCAACTAAAGCCTTCATCTCCCCAGGAAGTGCCCCACTCCTGGTTGTGATGGTTCCGGTCATGTCACAGGCAAGTTCACAGCTCACCACTGCCTCTCTGGCTGTCCGCTGGCAGAGAGGAATCAGAGCCGGCTGAAGGCAGACCTATCTGACTCGGAGACGGCAGCCAAGAAGAAGAACTTGTCTAATTTGTCCCCAAGGAAGAAGCCCCGCCATCATGGCCGGTGCGGAGGCCAGGGAGTCAGGTCCTGGGCTTCACGGGTGTGGGGCCTCGTGTCTTCTTGGGCCAGCCATTGATCCTCTGCTGCGACCCTGGTCCCTTTCTCTCCAGGATTGGACGCCCTCCAAAGTATCACAAGATTCCGCAGGAAGATTTCCAAGGTGAGTGCAGGTCCCCAGCTAGGGTCCTCTGTCAAGTGGGCACACTAAATGCCTTGTGATTGCTGGATCAGACACCAGGACACCAGACTGAGAGCACCTGGAAAAGAGATCACTGCTTTGAGCCTTTGGTGCACTGAGCAGGCGCAAGAGCACAGGATGAGGCCTTGAGTGGCCATGGCTTCTGGAGCTATGGGCTTGCTATGAGTCTGTGGGAAACGGGGGTTGTGTCTGGATTTCCAAAGGTGGAACGGTGGCCCTTCTCTGTTCTTCTGTGATTCTAGGCTTCCTCAGGAGACCATGACTGTCAATGTGTGACCTTGAGCAAGTCACTTTCCTCACTTGAAAATATGGATAAAACCCACCTCATGGGAGTCAATGTCTGACTGTTCACTGAGCCAGGTGCTGTGATGAGGCAAAATCATTTGCTCAGGATCATTCACTTTGTAAGGGGCTGAACCAGAATTCAAACTTGGACCTGACTTGTGGCATTAAGCTTAAAGCATTGCACTCTAGTGTCAAGTCAATGCCCATTCCCCTTGGATTTATTTCCATAACAAAATAGCACAGACTAAAGAACAGGCATTTATTTATCTCAAAATTCTGGAGGTGCAGGCAAGATATCTGGATTGGTATCTTCTCAAGCCTTTCCCCCTGGTACACAGACCACTGTGTGCTTGCACCGTTGCTGGTCTGTCTTGTGTGAACATCTCTGGTGTCTCACACCAGATTCACTGAGCCTGGTGTCCTCAGTCAGACCCTGAGCACAAGGCTGGAGGCTGTTGGGAGTGGTATGAGGCTCCATCTGAGCACCCTGGCCTGAGCCCCCTGCTAGAGTATGGTTTAGAGGGAGCCCGAGGGCAGGAAGAAGGGAGGGAAGGCTAAGGAGGGACTCCATGGGAGACCATGGAGGCTGAGATGCCCGCCACTCCTGGCAGGAGTGGGTAAAGTGTTCAGCACAGCTGCACACCAATCAGAAGCTGGTGCCCGAAAGACACTGTCTCTGACTTCTCTCTTTACTGCTTCTTCCTGATGTCCTGATGGAAACAGAAGGCAGTTCTTGTAGCCTCAGGCCTGAATGGCAAGCGTCTTGGCTGACACCTGGGCCCTCCTAGGGAGACTATCCCAGGGCCAGGCTATATATAGCAGGTCCCTCTTCCGCCTGCTGTGGTGCACTGGTCAGCTCCCGTTTGCAGGACTACATTCTAACCACCAGAGGGCACCTGCTGACCGAATATGAAGAGTTCTTGGAGAGAGAGAGAGAGAGAGAGAGAGAGAGAGAGAGAGAGAGAGAGAGAGAGAGTGTGCGCACGTGCGCGTGTGCACACGGAGGTCAGAGGACAACATGATAGTGTCAGTTCTCTCTTTCTACCTTTATATGGATTTGGGATCTAATTCAGGCAGTTAGGCCTTTACCTGCTAAACCATGGTAGAATCGTAAGGCCTGGAATAGAGATTTGAGAAGCTGAAGAAGGCATGAGGCTGAGGCTTAGGGAGTGAGATGGGGCAGGATAGTCTGCCACAGAAAAGATGGCACCTCGAATGCTACGTTCTGCCTGCAGAATGGTCAGCAAGCACTAAAAAGAGAAGAATTAGCTTGAACTGTGGCCCAAGGAAGAGTAGACCCCTGGGAGAGTGGCCAAGCTGTCTATGGCCCCTGGCCTACTGCAGAGAATGGGGTCAGGCGGTCAGAAGCTTAACTGAGTAAAGTCCAGGCATGCTAAAGAGGAAGCCAAGCAGAGGGGCATCAGTCACCTGACCCACGGAGCCAGAGATTCCCGAGCAGATTAGAAAGCAAGCAAAGGCAGCTGATAAGAACACATTCTCTTAGGCCAGAATCACCCTAGTCAAAGAGAGTTGGTCAGAGTCCAGAAGGACTTTAGAAAGGACACAGAACTCACAGTGAGTGCTGGATCCTGTGAGTAAGCATCCCATTTGACCAGCAGCACGCCAGGTCACCCATGTGGTTCTGCAGGCTTTACAAGGGGGCCTCAGCTGTGCCAACCAGTGTCTCCTGTGTCCCCTGTGTGAGCTCTCCCTCCTACTAGCCTATCCTTTTCTGCCTCTGCCTTCTAGCCCTCCCTCCCAGTGTGGTGCACCAGTCCCTCTTCATGTCAACCCACCCCAACCGCTCATTCTCTGTGGGCTGGGAGCAGCACTGCAAGCTCCTGCCAGGAGTGGCGGGCATCTCAGCCTCCACAGTCTCCAAGTGGACCATTGAAGAGGTATGGAGCCCCTCCTTAGCCTTCCCTCCCTTCTTCCTGCCCTCGGGCTCCCTCTAAACCATACTCTAGCAGGGGGCTCAGGCCAGGGTGCTCAGATGGAGCCTCATACCACTCCCAACAGCCTCCAGCCTTGTGCTCATCCCTCCTACCCACAGTCCTTTTAGCTGCACAGCAAGGCTGACCAAAACAGGCCGCTTGTGGCTGATAGAGAGGGTGTGCTGGGAATCTAGCAGGACAGGCGTGTTTTAAGGAACACGGGACCTTCCCTCGTGTACCGCCACACAAAGGCATGAGGCTGCCCTAAGGCTGGCAAGAAAGAAGCTGCTGGCACAGTCCAAGGGACACCAAGACTATGTAGACTCACCCCCCCCCAGATCCCGCCCCCTGGTTAACATATCTCCTTTGATTTCCAAGGTCTTTGGCTTCGTTCAGACCTTGACGGGCTCTGAGGACCAAGCACGCGTCTTCAAAGATGAGGTAAGGTACAAGTGCAGATCAACAGAGACCAAGTCACTGCATTGAGATGGCAGGAAGCCATTATCCTCACCAGCATTACCCGAGCCCAAGAGGGACCTCTGATGCCCTCCAAGGCAAGACCAGTCATAGTCACCCATGTCTGTGGGAGAAATCTTGTAGGGACTATGAACCAGCTTGGGGATACTGTGTTCAGGTCCCCTTTGGGAAGGAAAATGTATCCTGAAGAAGGGATCCATCTCCTCTTGTGCTCTCTGCCAAGGGCTGTTTGAATTGAAGCATTTCACAGTTTGGGGTGCTAGGGAGTGAACACAGCTTCAACCAGGCTGAGCAGGCACTGCACTAATGAGCTCATCCCTGCCTACCCCTGAGCCCAAAGCAGATGGTAGGTGGTGTAGGTGTCCATATTTGTTGCAGAGATCCTAACACACCAAAGTTAACACCCAAGAGCTTAGGAAAGATATGAAACAGTGAGTTACAAAGAATGCCAGGTTTGGAGGCAGCCTAAGCTGGCTGGAATCCTAGCTGAACCAATTTGAGCAGCTTGTCTCTGAGCCTGCATCTTCCTGGTTTTTGGTTTTGGTTTTGGTTTTGGTTTGGTTGGTTGGTTGGTTTTTCGAGACAGGGTTTCTCTCTGTAACTTTGGAGCCTGTACTGGCACTTGCTCTGGAGACCAGGCTGGCCTCAAACTCACAGAGATCCACCTGCTCCTGCCTCCCAAGTGCTGGGATTAAAGGCATGCACTACTACCCTCCTCATGATCCTGTTTTTAAGATGGAGGTAGAGCAGGTGCACTGAGGGCTGCCTGACGGGTCATTGTGAACTTTGGAAATAAGGAGCGAGTCTTCACTGCAATATAGCTACATGCTCATATCACTACGTGTTCATATCACATCTATCTAGCTGCATTATAAAGTCATATAGAAATCCCACAACTATACCAAAAGCCCATTATGGGGGAGACATCTATAAATGGTAGTCTGGCTTTTTATGCACATTTGCCCTTAAATAAAGAACTTTATTCATGACTCTTATTAATTTGTAGAGTTTGAAAATGGAAGGAGCCCTTGAGTGTCTTTCAGTCTTCCTTCCAAAACAGTAGAAACAGTCCCATACACCAGCACAGCATGGTCTCAGCTGCCTAAAGCTGTGCCCCCGTAAGAAAGAAGGATGTCTTGAGACCCAGCACGGTTTGCGTCTTCTGGCCTGGCTCCTGGTCTTGGCCCCTGTGTTGTTGATCTTATTTATGTTTCTCTGGGTGTCCAGCTGGACTCCTGCTTCTGGAACCTTCTGACCAACATGGAACAATTATACTGATTGCCTGCTCCCTGGGTGGCTTGTTGTTTTCACTTTTGTTTGTTCAGGGTTTGGTTTGGTGCTAAGGGTTGCACCAAGAGCTTCTAGCATGCTAAGGTTGCTCTTTACCACTGCTCAGTAGCTATGCCCTCCACCCAACCCTCCCCGGACGAATTGACTGAGGTGAACATCCAACACCACAAGTTTTATGAAATGTGTGTACTTGAATCAAGACAGACCACTCCCATCACACCAAAAGTTCAGCCTCAGCCCCTGTTGGTCTGTCCCCACCCTAAAACATAAGCACTTTTTTTTTAAGCACTGTGGATTATAGCTGTGTAGCTTAACCTAGTCTTCTTGAATTATATAAGCAGGATCAGACAGCAGGTGCTCTGTGGGTCTCTCTTTGTTCCCTGTAGTGTTGGCGGGAGGTTTTGTGTAGTGCTGTACACACTCAGTTTTTCTCCATTTAATGAACAGACCACAGGCCTCCTGCTCATGGACATTTAGGTGGTTTCCCCTCCTGAGTCCCTGACCCCATACAACCTCCTCCCTCTGTTTTCTTGGTCTCTCTCCCTCCTCACAACCAGCTTTTCTCTTCCCTGACTAGAATGTGCACTTATGAGACTTTCACACACTGGCTTTGTCTGGCTTGGGATGAGGTTGTTTGAGGTAAATTACAGGCACCATCATGAGTCACCCCTGAGTACTGTGACTTTTATACAATGTTGTTATTGCACCAGCAATCAGGGGTAGCTCCTGCCCGTATCCACATTTCCTGTTACCTCAGAGCATTTTGAAACATAGTTCTTGAGACAAGTAAGGCCCACATGAATTATTTCAGGTGTTATATAGCCCTTAAATATCTTCCATTCTAGAATAGTAACCTCCTTTTTTCTTCTTATTCTCCTTTTATTTTTTCTTGTGACATTTTTTAAAAGTCTAGAAGTGAGGACCAGCAAGTTAGCTAAGCAGGTGGAGGCAAGCCTAAAGACCTGAGTCCAGTCCCCGACTGGGATTCGCACGATGGAAGGAGAGAACTGATGCCCAACAATTGTCCTCTGGCCTCCACACGCAACATTCACACCCACACCCATACGTACACAAAATAAATGATTGAAGTAGAAAAAATGAAAACTAGAAATCAATCCAAAGGCTTTATTAGATACAAGTGTTCTCTGTCTCTCTGATTTGGGGACAGGAATAGGTCAGGGGTAACAGTGCACCCCATGCCGTAGCCCTCAAAGTGCAGTGTCTGCCCAACTTGCTGTCAGTGGCACTGGAGACTGACTAGTGGGTTCCCACCGGGGCTATGATGGGGTTTTCCTTGTCTTCCTTTGTTTTGTTTTGACGGCAGACATTTCACAAATGCTAGATCAAATGTGTAGCTATGGAGGCTGTTACCCAGGTAACAAAATGAGTCCAGGAGGCATTTTTGAAGGATGACTAATGAATGAAACTGCTCAGACCAGGAGCCTGCCTGGCTTCCTGGGCAGCCTCCCTGGGCCCTGTGCATAGAACCTGGCACTAGGCTGAGTGCTCAGCTGTCACTAAATTCTTAATAACTTTCAAACAAGGCGTTCTACATTTTCATTAAGTACAAAGCCCTGCAACTATCTACCAGCAGCTGTCTGTAAGGGCTCCAGAGAGGATTTTCCAGTATAGACGCTGACACAGGCCATCAGCAGAAAGAGAAACTCTGTGTATAACACGGGGAACCAGGCTGTCTTGCTTTCCTTCTCCATCCCATCACTGTCTTCCTTTTCTCCCCCCCCCTTCTCTTTGCCCCCTTCCGCTCCCACCTGTCATATGATCCTTTTTCCCCTCCTCACATGCCCTCACATATCTGCCCCTCCCTTCCTCTCACCTCCCCCTCCATCCACCCTCTCCTCCTCCTCCGGTTCCCTCCTCCCTCTCCCACCCCTCAGATGATTGACGGCGAGGCCTTCCTTTTGCTGACACAGGCGGACATTGTGAAGATCATGAGTGTCAAGCTGGGCCCAGCCTTGAAGATCTATAACGCCATTCTCATGTTCAAAAACACTGATGACACCTTTAAGTGACCGGCCAAGTGGGCCCTCCTCCCACCCATGCCAGGCTCCCTCCTCTGATGGTGCTCCTTTCCTGCACCCTTGTCCTCATGGTCTGACTAGGGCTGGCCCTTCCCAGAAGGTGGATGGGAGCAGAGGAGCCTGGGCAAGGGAATCTTGGCCTTCAGTCCTGGAGTCCATTTGTCTCCAGTTTGCCCCCGTGCGGGTGTGACTAAACTGAGGCCTGACTAATAGCAAGGAATGCAGGTATCCTGGCTAGGGCAGCCTGCATCTTCAGCTACCTTGGTTACCGTCTTAGGAGTTAGGAGAAGCTAGGTCCAGTAGGTATCATCTACCCGGGTCCTCTTTGGCATCCCTGTGCTCTCTTCTCCTTGGCCCCTCTCCTCCTACTAAGAAGTGACCATGACTTTGGCATACATATTTACACATAAAAGGTGCCTCCTCCCTTTCTACTGTTGGCTGTGTACCCTTCCTAGATGCCGGGTCCAGCCAGACCCCATGGCTCTTCTGTAGATGCTTAAGTCTCAGAAATAAGGGAGTTTCCCATTGGGAGCCTCTGGCTGTCTTTCCACTTTTGCCTCTAGGTGGAGATCAAGAGCCAAGGCACCTTCGTAAACATGTTCAGTTGAGGACCACTCAGCATTGGAGTGGCCAGTTCCAGGGCTTAGTTCCAGCAGAGTGAGCAGATAGTTAGAGCCCATGTTAAAATAAATGGAGCCTTGATGCCACCTACACACCAGCAGCTGCAGTCTGTTGGGTATGGGGAAGATGCAGGCTGGACTGGTAGGCAGTGCAGGCTAGGATGTCAGACACCTTGGAGTCTTTGGCCTGAAGGGTAGCTCCAGACAGCATGGTGGCAGCAGTATCCTCTCTGTTTCTGTGACTCTCAGTCAAGATATTACACATGAGTGAGAGGCCCCTGCCGGCCCAGCCTCCTGCCAGGAGAGTGTAGCCGTGTCTAGCACACAACCCCTGTGACATCATATTCACTGTGTCCCTTAAACATTTCTCATTTTACTCTTGAGTCTTGAGGCCACTTACAGTACAGAGATGCAAAGTTCCCCTCTCCAGTCTTTGAACTCTCTGTCTCTTATGCCCTTCTTGCCATTCTCCAACTGTCTCTCACTGCCAGCTGGCTCCCTGCTGGGGCTCTGGGACTTGGGCTTTTCTGTCCTAGTGGAGGTTCAGTTTCCACTTAACTACTGCCAAACTCGCCCCCAGCCTATGTAGGGAGCACCAGAGCCCAGCAGAAGCCACCCCGCCCATAGGTGGAAGTCAGTGCCAAGCTTCATCTGGTGCTGAGGTGGCCTGCAGGCTGAAGAGCAGGGTTGTCCCCCAGCATATGTATGTGTTAGTCACTCAACAGATTCTATCAGGTGCTGGTGTGAGGTGCGGTGTTGGGAATATTAAGGGCTATTATTAAACTATGAAGCTTTATTATTGCCTCAGAAATGAGAAACCAAAAGTTCTGTTGATTTCCTATTTTATCCCTTTGGGGACCTCCCCTGCCTAGGCCAGACAGCTTCTGGGGGACAGCCATTTGGCACCCTGCTAGCTTTGAAAGAGTCTCAGATTGCCTTTCCCTTTCAGTCCTCAAGGGTAACTCTTGAGCACAACCTTTCTGAGAGGGCACTGGGCAAGACTGGCCAAGGGGGAGGGAGAGTTAGGTTAATAGATGTGACATCATTGTCCCCTTGCTGGGAGTAAAGAGGAGCCAGTCTCTGCTATCTCAGTTGTCTGGGTTGCTGTGGAACCTTCCACTTTCTTGTCTTTAGTCTGCCTGTCTCTCACTGACTGGTCTGTCTGAGAAGGCAGCAAATGTTCCATGTTCTTGGCTGGTGTTGTGAGACCACACAGCTCCCAAGGAGAGCGACAGCAGCCTGTGCCATGCAGCTCTGCCCATAACAGTTACCTGTGAAAAGGCCAGATGGACAAACTGGCTGGAGAAGAGGACTTGCAGGCCTCCCAACCCTGAGGTCTCAGCTATCTGAACCCATATCAGACTCTTTGGAAAGAAACCAAACCATAAAACAGTCAAAAGAAATCTGCCTTTTGACCATTCCACCACCCACTGGGTCCCCAGATGAGACCATTGCACCTTGACCTGGAAGCACAGGAGGAGAGGGAGTGGGTGGCTGCTTCTGGCACCCTGTACCCTGGTCTCTAGCAACACAAACCACTTACACTTTGTCCCCAGCAGGCTTGTCCAGCTTCTGCCCAGCCCTGGCCTAGGACGGGAATAAAACTTTCTGTTTAATTCCTAAGGCAGAGAGAATGGTTTCAGAGTTTGAAAATGAAGCCTGTTTCCACCTTCATTCGCACGCACTGTGATGGGGTTACATTTTTGTTCTTGCTCTGTGTGTGTGTGTGTGTGTGTGTGTGTGTGTGTGTGTGTGTGTGTGTGTGTGTGTGTGTGTTCTTAAATATTCTTAAAGAAAATCCTCTGGTTTAAACTAAAGTGACTCTCAAGGGAGGAAACATTACAAAGAAAATACAGTATGATTTCTCTGTGTATTGTAACAACATTAAATAAATTCACATTGTTGAACAGTCTGCAGCCAGAGTCCATTTCTCTTTTTGTGGTGAAATGCCCAGGAGCACAGGTGAAGATCAGTACTGCCATGTCTTAGGAGACCAGTTCCTTCCCTCTGCTGCTAGGTAGAGGTCCTAGAGCAGTGGTTCTCAAACTGTGGGTTGCAACCCTTCTAGGGATTCAAAAGACCCTTTCAGAGGGGTCGCCTAAGACCATCAGAAAACACAGATATTCACATTACAATTCATGGTGGTAGAAAAATTATACTTACAAAGTAACAATGAAAATAATTTTATGGTTGGGGGCTCACCACAACATGAGGAACTGTATTGAAGGATCACAGCATTAGAGAGGTTAAGAACCACTTTCCTAGAGAATCTGAATTTTATACTTTAAAGGATCAGGGTAAAAATAAAAATGTGTTGAAAGGAGAAAGTCAGATTGAGAACATTGTGGAAACACATGCCTGCTTAGAAACACATGCCTCAGTGGAAAGTGTTCTCACAGTCAGCCACCAAGGTGCACAGAGGCTGTGCTAAAAGTGGGCCAGACAGTATCTCAGGCTGACAGGGCAACTTGGCAGGATCATCCACATGACACTGTTGCTGCAAGCATGAGATGTAAGTGTGGGGTCATGGAAGCCTGCTCCAAGGTTCCAGAAAGCTGCTGAGGCTGGGCAATTCACTGTGGGACCAGATTTTTTGAAAGGAGGCCATTATATGAATCTATAAGGGTAGATCCCAAGTTACAATGAAGATACCTGGATTTTTGAGATACCAGGGTATCTTTCCTTATGGGGTGTCCACCAAGGAAAGCTGCAGCTATGAAGTAGAACTAGGCTAAGAGAGAGGTTATCTGTGTTGCAGGCAGCAGAACTGAAGAGGCAGGAGTGCGGAAGGCTGTAAGAGCCCATATGATTCCATCAAGAGCTCCAGATGCTGGATATGGAGCTACAGGATTTGATGTTAGAGGGTAGAGCTGTTTAGTAGAGTGTTTGTGTGGCGCACAGGAAGCCCGAGGTTGCTCCGCTCCACATGAGCCAGTCTCTGGGTGTACTCCTGCAGTTCCAGGACTGGGGAGATGGAGACAGGAAGATGAGAAGCTGAAGGCCATTTTGCTACATAGTGAGTTTAAGACTAGCCTGAGATACATGAGATGCTATTGCTAAGGAAAAAAAGAAAGAGCCACGCAGTGGTGGCACACACCTTTAATCTCAGCACTCGGGAGCAGAGGCAGGTGGATCTCTGTGAGTTCAAGGTCTACAAAGCGAGTTCCAGTATAGCCAGAGCTATTGCACAGAAAAACCCTGCCTCAAAAAACAAAACAAAACAAAGAAAGAGAAAACTGTTTAATGACTATAGACCTGCTGTCTTAAACATGTAATCAACTGGGGCTGGAGAGATGGCTTAGTAGTTAAGCACTGCTTTCCCAGAAGATCCACTTTCAATTCCCAGCACCCACGTGGCAGCTCACAACTGTAACTTCAGTTCTAAGGGATCTGACACCATTTTCCGGTCCTTCAGGCACTAGGCATGCACCTGCTGCATAGATACACATACAAGGAAAACTCATAAAATCACTGCTTGCCACATAAAAGTCTGTGCTCAATAAATATCTGTTGAACAAATAAATCTCCACTTAAAAAATGTATAAACAGCAGGGCTGGGGAGATGACTCAGTCAGTAAAGTACATGCTTAGCAAGCTGAAGATCTAAGTTCAAATTCCTGGAAGCTTACTGGCCTAGCCTGCTTGATGAAGTCTCAGGACTAACACAGTTTTTATTCTCTGACTACATGTGTGCAATGCACTCACCCCAGATATGTGCACCCATCCACATACAAATAAGCACATGCATACATAATTTTTTAAATTAAAAAATGTAAACAATAAGAACCCCCAGGGCCTGATATCATGACATTTTATAGAAATGATCAAGGCCAGAGAATTCAATGGACCCTCCAGTTTTAAAGTTAGCATGAAGCTTCCTGTGCAGAAATGTCAAGCAGGAGGGCTCGGCTCTAAGGTCACCAGAGTGTGCGAGCAGGTGGGAACATGACATGAACGTCATGTGCTCTTTGTAGCCATCTCTTCAAAATCTTTTAATTCCTTTGCCCCACTGCCCTTCCAAAGCACTTGACTATGAGAATACCAACCATGAAACTGTCCAAGAGTTCAGCTTCCTCCTCAGGGGCAGGAACTTACCAGACTGGACAGACAGATTGGTGTCAAGGTAGACTGATGGCCTTAGGCGTCTGTGAATTGAACTCCCATGGATCTCTAAAGGGCAGCTGGGCCTTAAGGAGCTTGGCCCCAGCTTTGCTTTGCATGTTCCTCAAGCCTCCTATGCCATTACCTCTTTCATCATCTCTATGGCCTCACCATCTATGTCCCAGGAAACAAACTTGCACCTCCTGGCCACCTCATGACACGGTGTCTTTTACCCACATCTGTCCCCTTCCTTTCCTGTCATGGTGAAAAAGTTGACTCTTCTTCCTGAAAGCTGATCCTTGACCAGCTAGCTGCAATAAAAGGAACATTGACACATAAGGAAAGGCTTTGGAACGTTAACACGTGATTGGAGAAATAAACTTTTAATAACAAGGTTAGAACATTAAAGATGAGGACACCTCCCAGAAAGTAGGACACAGGGAGGGTGGCATAGGGCTGCAATCCTGTAACCTGTCATTCTAGTACTCAGGAGGCAGAGCAAAAGGACTGCACAAACTCAAGGCTAGCCTGTCTCCAAACAGACAAAGACAATGATATGAAACTAGGAAAAATATTGGAAAATCAGCAGACTAGTCAAACAATGAGTTATATTAATAAAAAACTAAACTAAGCGGGCCAAGACACCGAGGACCTGTGTTCATGTACACAAACATCTGTGACTCTAGTTTGGGAGGATCTGATGCCCATTTCTGACCTCCTCAGGGTACCAGATATATATGTGGTACTGACATACATGCAAGCAAAACATTCATACACAGAAAAAAATAAAATAAAACAGAATTGAGATATGTTAGTCTCCAAACTGAGAGGTCACACTGAGTGCCAGGACAGAGGAATAGTACCAAACTGCAAAACTGTAAGGTATCAGAGTAATGAGAATAAAAAGAAGACAGGTGGTGGTGGCACACACCTTTAATCCCAGCACTCGGGAGGCAGAGGCAGGCGGATCTCTGTGAGTTCAAGGCCAGCCTGGTCTACAGAGGAAGTGCCAGGACAGGCTCCAAAGCTACACAAAGAAACCCTGTCTCGAAAAAACAAAACAACAACAATAAAAAAAATGGGGGAAAATGTGATAATCTCAAATGACACAAAAAGGCATTTGACAGACTTCAGTATTCTTCCATGAGGAAAATGGAAGAAAACATGAAAGGAAACTTGCACAATATGACAAAGGGCATCTACACAAAGTCCACAGCTAGTACCATACTCGGTGGCGAAAAGCTGAACATTTGTGTCAAAAGTCAAGAACAAGACAAAGACTACTGCCTTCATGGCTGCTACTCTGCCTTTATTAGATGTTTCAGCCAGATAAACTAGACAAAAAATAAATAAATAAATAAATAAATAAATAAATAAAAGAATCCAAGTTGGAAAAGAAGTAAAATTACATTTAAAAGTAATATGATTTGATTTCTAGAGATGTTCCAAGTCAATAGGAACCCATTAAGCTGCCAGAACTATCAAGCTAGTTCATCAGAGTTGCAAGACAGATTAATGATGAGGGAAGTGCTTCTGTGTATGTGTTTGTCTTATTGGATGATAAATAAAGTACTGTTTGGCCAATGAG